TTGAACCTTATGGGAAAATTTGCTTCGGGTCACGACCAATTTGGGTTGCGACCAGAGTCACGGAACGAATTAAGTTCGTAAACCAAGATTCCACTGTATAACTTAGCCTGCCTCAGCCACAGTGTCAAGATCAATCATTATTCCTCTATCTTCTGCACTGTCAAAGCACACCTAAAATATTGCATCAGTTCTAGGCACCACATTTTAGGAAGGACACTGATCAACTGGAAGGTGTCCAGAGGACAGCAACCTAGATAATATGGGGTCAGGAAGGAAACTTATGAAGAAGAGTTGGAGGCGTTGGATAGGTTTAGCCTGCAGGAGAGAAGACCATGGAAAAACATGATAGCTGTCTTCAAGTGCCTGGAGGGTTATCCTGGGGCAGAATTGTTCAGAGTGGTTCCAGAAGATGGGACAAGAAACAATGCATTTAGATTACAAGGAAGCAGATTTTTGTAAGAGTTCATAAACGGAACGAGCTGCCTTGCGAAGCAGTGGACACTCTTTTGCTGGCAAAGGGTGGATGACCATCTCTCAAGTGCTGCAGAACGAGGTCGAAATAGACTATCTCCATGGTCATTCCCAAACTTTACAATTTCTACACCTATGAAAAAATTTCTCTGTGTGGTTGTCTTGCTTTCCAAATTAACATATAATGCTACATGTTTTGTTGGGACACATGTAGACGGGATACCTGGGACACATGTAGATGGTAACTGTTGATCTCCAAAATGAATTTTTTTTTTTTTTAAATGTTGCCCAAATCTCACAAAATACCCACATTTGACAAAACCTCTATGTGGTCAGATTAGCTCTTGGGACAGTTTAGCTCAGTGTTTCTCAAACTTGGCCACTTTAAGATGTGTGGACTTCACCTCCCAGAATTCCCCAGCCAGCCACGCTGGCTAGGGAATTCTGGGAGATGAAGTCCATACATCTTAAAGTGGCCAAGTTTGAGAAACACTGGTTTAGCTATTTTTTCTTAAATAATTGTAAAACCTTTTTCAAAAATCAGCCACCAAATAAATAAATTGATAGGAGAAAAAAATATGGGGGGGTTATAACTGCACAGGGGGCAATCACATTATTGTTATTGTTAATTGAATGACTCTTAAATGAAGTCTAATTTGTTTCTGGCCTGCCGTGGCTCATTTCTTTAGCCCAGGACCAACATTTTTGCAGTGCTGCCCCAAGTACAGTTTATCATTTAGCCATGTTTAGTCCTTTAGCACACATACCCCCGCCCCCACACAAGCCTGCTCATCTCTGCTCATCAGTCTGGGTGTTTGTGAAATTCGTTTACAATTTTTGATTCATGATTACGGTAAAAGAGTGAGAGAGTGCATGCC